TTGTTTCAAAGTCACTAATAAATGCATATGCGGCAATCCACGTTTTTGATATTCAATGACATACACATAAGCAATCACTTCGCCAAATAATTGTTCCTTTACAATAGTATTAATAAGTTTACACGGAGAGAAATTTGAACCGTTAAAGGCAGTGTCTAATTCAGAAGGTTAAAAGAGGGGGAAAGTTCACGGTAAATCTGAGCGATTTCACCGAGTTTTTCCATTCACGAATCGCAAGTGGCAGTGACAGTAACCGTCAGAGAGCGCTACATCTTGTAGAAAATTATGATGAGTTTCCATTCATCGCCTAAGACTCTGATCACACCGTGATTTTACGTTCAACCTTCTCTCCGTGTATCTTTTTTTATGGTAAAAACACGCGATACAATATCTGGTCTGTCAAAGGCAGTTTGGTTAGGTAATAAATTTTCCTTAATTTCACGCCAGTTTGGATTACACGTCATCGTAATAAAAAGATCAGGTTTACCAAATTTTCTTACAATAGCCATTGCATCTTGGTAATGCTGTAACATATTTCTCGGAGAACCTGTGAAAGATGATGGAAGTATTACAATTTTCCCAACTTCATTGTTCGAATCATCAGCTCTTCTTTGTAAATGATCAATTAGACCTTCGTAAGTATCTGCACGAAGTTTCTTTTGATTATTTCGACAGAAATTTGTCCTACCTTTTTAATTTTCACATAACTGTCGACAATCCATTGCTGAAATAATCTACCACCCTTTAAAAATACATTGTTGTCCCTAGAAGCCATTCTATGCCTGATGTATGCAGCTCTTGATACACGTTTATTTGTATTAGCGCAGGTCAGATTTTTGTCCCAACCTCTTGTTCCATGTGGATAAAATAAAGGATATATCCATGGCTCAACATTGGGATTCATAGAACTTATATATTGTAAACTTTTTGTATTCTTATTATATACGGTAACATATGATTCTGGAATATCACCATCAGCAGTTGTAGTAAAAATTGCTGCAACTTCATTGACACTTTGTAAATTATAACGTCTACTATCCATCCCAGGCTTTAATGAAAATAATAATTGCATTTCAGGCTAAATTTCTGCATTATTTTCAGTCATTGTTTTTTTAATTTTTTCATGCATCATACGGTAGGACTGTGCAAATAGGTTACAATCCCGAAGGGCTGTTTCAATTCCATCAACAATATCTCGGTTTAATTGAACATTATTCTTACAACAAATTTCGGAAGCTTCGTTTTGATCAACAATAAATAACTGTCCAAATAAAGGAGTATCGTTCCTTTCTGCATACAAAGATGTATTCATTTGATAATAAACCTGACCATGTATTTTGAAACAATATGGTCCTGGTCGTCTATTGTTAAAATTAACTAAGTTAGCGTTGAAAGAAGCAAAACCAAATGAATTATTGTAAGGTCGTATATTATGAAGAAAATGCCCAGATAATTCGTGGGTGCCATCAAATAAATTTTGTAATATGAGTGGAGGAGCAGGTAGATCTTCAAGAATGACTTCGCCATGTTTACAACAATCATGAAATGAATTTTTTTTATTAGATACTCTTTCTGCTTGGAAATGTTTAGCATTACAATGCTCACATGAAATTTTCATCGCACCAGCAAAATGTTCTTCTATATGCGAGCCTGAAATACTGTCAGAGAAATTTTGATTCTGTGCAAAATCCCGTTTTTTTGGCTATGAGTTTTTTGATAAGCTACATTTTTTTGACGACCGGAAATATTAGTATTTGCTAAATTTGCTGTAACAGTTACATTATCTTTTGCCAAAGATGTAGTAACAGTTGTAGAGGATTTTTCTGAATTTATATTTGATTTTGACACTGTAATAATACTGTCCTTTGTTTGAAGTGATTGAGGGTTAAGAATTCTATTATTCTCTTGTTTTTTTTGTCGAAACTTTCTTTGATAAGCAGCTTTCTTTTGACGTTTCATGACTTGATGTTCTTCTTCCTCTAAAGAACGTATTATTGATCTTTTTTTACTTGATTTTCATTTTTTAAATTAGTATATTTTGTAACATTTCTTGAATCATTACAATCATCATTAGTTTTTGATTTTATAAATAATTCACTGTTAACTTTATGTTCACAAAGTTTTACATAAGAATGATCACGTGTAATGTTCATTTCATTACAATAACCCATCTCTATATGTGACTTTGAAATAATATCAGACTGATTTTGTTTTTGAACAGAAGTATGTTTATTTTGTCGAGAGGTGCGCTTGTAAGCAACATTTCTGTCACGAATTGACGTTTTAACTTTAGAAGTAGAAATATTTTCTTCTGCTGATGATAAAGCTGTAGATGTGCTTTGGGGCCTCGTATTTAAAGTTTGCTCTGCACTAATGAATTCATTAGAATCCAATGATTCAGAGCGAACAATTTTATTATTTTCTCGCTTTTTTTGTCGATATTTTTTTTGATAAGCAGCTTTTTTTGACGTTTTATGATTTTATATTTTTCCTCTTCTTCAGGAAAATGAACCATAGCTCTTTTTTCTCCTTGCTTCTCAGTTATTATTAATTTTGTATCTTTCATTCCATTGCTTGAATCAATAGAAATATTATTAACATCATTTGCTGGAATTAAAGGCAAATCTTCTAAACAACTATCAACAAAATTTTTTTTACAAACATTGCTGGTTGAATTCAACGATGATAAATTATTGTCAACAATTTTATTTTCTTCATTTTGGAAACTTTTTTCTCTAGCTCGATTCCTAAGAAGACACTCCCAATTACATTCAACAGTCATAGTTCTAATATTAGTCGACCTTACTGACGGAAATTTACTTAAACGATTGTTTTTGAACATTAACATTAAATGATTTCTCATGTTATAATAATAGTAATTGACAGAGTGGGGCATAATATTAAAAAATATCGATGTTGCGAATGCTATTGCATATATTCCACAAGCAAGATTATTGTTTGGTTGTTGATCAACAGTTGTGAAAACTACTGGAGGTTTAAAAGGATATAATCTACTTAAATATTTCCTTTGATCTTCATTTAAACATCCTTCATTAAGACTATCATAAATATAAAGTCTCATTTCATCATAATAAGTGCAAATCCAATGACCTTTCTTGATAGGTCCACAAAAAAGTATTTGAATATGCTTTTTACCTTTTTCAATCGGACTAATAAATTCAAGCGTATAAAAATACAAAGTGCTTTGCATGCTAAAAGCAGAATTTGATTCCCTTCTCAATAATTTTTCGAATTCATCAATATGAGTATCATTTAACATTCCTCCTTCAGTAAGTATAATATTAAAATCTGTAACACTTAAATTAACAGTTCCTTCTTTGTTCGACATGATTTCTTTCAATTTATTGAAAAGATATCGCTTCTAAAAAATAGTTTTTCATAAAATTAATTAATTCAGAACACATGTAAATAATGTTACTATTGTCACATTTAACAGTAACTGGAATTTTTATCTTATCCTTTCTTATTAAAGATTATTAAGAATGTAAAGAATGTATCTTCATCTATTAATATTATTAATATTATTAAATATAAGTATATTTTTGGTAAATTTTTCTGTTTATTATCTGTTAATCTAGTATCTGTTAATAGAGTATCTGTTAATCTAGTACCTCTTGACTAAATCTCTGTTTATCAAGTATCTGGTATCTCGTAATCACATGTTATTTTTGGTACATCTTTAATATTCATAAAGTTTTTTCCAAAATAATAACTAACTACCAAAATGTTAAAAAACAAAATGTTAAAAAATCAATAATTAAGATTTAAAAAAACAAATATTAATCAATATTAAATAATAATTATTACCACTATAATATAATTATGTACAAACATCAGAATTTAAAAAATCAATATTCTACATTTAGAAATCAAAATAACAGGCAAATGTTCTTTATTCTTTTAAACTTTAACTTTAATTAATTTAATGTATCCTTTAAACTTTAACTTTAAAACTTTAACTTTAATTAAATTAATGTATTTAACTTTAACCTTTAACTTTAATTAATAAAATTAATTAAATCCTTTAAATTAATAAATCAAATAATTCACACATTATATTTACAAACTCTTCCTAATAAATATATACCTATACAAATAATATTAACAAAAAATTTAATTTGTATTTACATGTATTTTAATTTTAATACTTACGTACGTAACGTATGCAATGTACTTTAACTTTTTTCAAATGTACAAAAAAACAAAACCACAAAATTCACAATCAACACTTTCAGAAAAAAATCACTTAGCAAATAACAGCCAATACTTCTTATCGAAACGATACACTTGTCACACTTTGCAAATGGCTGACAGTTGCTGACACTTGTAATGTTTTGTAATTTTTCATACCAACCAAAAAAAACTATGCGTTTCACACTGAGGTGAGGTTACGTAGCGAACAAACAATTGTTTGGAAAAAAAGATGCGCGCGCAACAATTTTGAAGCGTCTAAAATGAATCATAAAATTAAATATATTTTATTATTAAAAAACTTTTCATTTATTACAAACCAAATCATAAATAAAAATTATTTTTATCTTAAACTACTTTTGGTTAACTTTTAGTTAATAAATAAATTTTAATTAATTTATTTTAATTTTAAAAGAGAGAAAAACGAAAATTTAAAAGTGTGAGGTCACCATCATTATAAAATTCAGCCAATGAGGAACACTCATTATAAAATCAGCCAAAAATCAGCCAATGAGAAGAAAGTTCTACACTTGAAGTTAGCTGCTTTGACATCAGTAAGTAATGTCGTCTCGATTGCGTCCTTATAGCCTTATTCATGCTGATTCTACACTTATTTACTTCCGGAACAACTAGCATGAGATGGACAAAGATAGCGACAGTCTCTGCCTTTGTCTATCTCATGCAATTCGTTTTGGAAAGTCGGAGCGACTCAGTAAGTGTAGAATCAGCATGAGTTCCATTGCGCATTGTGCGCAATCCGAATTCAGCTTGCGGAAATGAACGCAGTTCCTTCTAACTTTCACAAATAAACGGTCTGACTGAATTTAATTATCCTCGAAGAAGAAAACGTTGCACGATCAAAATCAATAAAAAATGCAAGTTGACGCTGAGGAAAACTTATTTAATGAAGTTTTAATTCAATTGGTCGCCGAAAAACCTTTTTTACACAATAAGACATATCGGACTTATCAAGATAATTGCAAGAGACGAGATGCTTGGCATGAGATTGCTACAAATGTTTATCTAGCTACTAATATTGAAACATCAGGTAAGTATAAATATTCATAAATTTTAATTACTTTCACTAATTAAAATTATTAAGGAAACTCAATTAAAAAAAATTGAATTTGCGGTTTTTAAATTTTTTTTAATACTTCGTCGCGATAATTTAATTATTTTCATAAATAATAAAATTCTTTGAAGGTATTCAATTATTCTCAAATTTTTTTCAAGAATTCAATGATTTTCAATACATTAATTTTAAAATTAAAAGTATTGAAATTTAAAATAAATTGCCCTTTTGTTTAGCTGAAAAAGTTCAAAACAAATGGGAGAAGCTAAGGACATTATATGATAAGGAAGCGGCCATTAGAAATTCTTACACCCCGTCAGGTTCAGCCGCTCCAGAAGAAACAGGTCTACGTTTCGAGTATTTTGAAGCTATGAAGTATTTAAATAAATCTCCAAAGAGTAGCGTGTAAGTTATGATTCTTGTTCTTTTTTTGTGATGAATTATTCAAAAATCAAAATTTTATATTTCGCTGATTAATTGAAAATTTTCCTTTTTTTATTTGATCAACTACAAATTTAAAATGTGAAATTTTACAATTTTGAATTAAGAAAATGTATTTGAATAAAATCATCAGATAAAAATAATTCCTAGCAAATTTAAAAACTTACAATTTGAAAAAATAATTAAATTTTTTTGTATAGAAATTAGAAGTTTAAATTAAAATTTACAATCAAAAACAGAAAAAAAAAAATATAAAAATCACAAATCTAAAAAATATTTATTGAAAGATAAAAGTTGTTAAAAAATAACTTTTGCTATTTTCCATCAATTAAACAATATCAAATAAATTAATTTTAATAATTTTAACTGTATGCAGAAGTCAATGGTCGATGACTTTTACAAAAACAAAAAGTTATTAATTATATTCAAATATAATGACACTAAAGTGGGAAGAGAGTTGACAACGGAAATAGTAAATAGAATTGTCAAATAATTTAATAAAATAAACCTTTAAATAAAGAAAATAACATGAAAAATTTTTACACTATTAATTTTGTAAAAATATTTGACACTTTTCCATTATTAGTCATCGACTCTCTTTTCTTTTCAGTATTATTATATTTGTATTTAATTAATAAGTCTTTGTTTTCCCAAAAGTCATCGACCTTTATTTTCTGTAAACAGAAGATTTTGATTTTTTCTGTAAACAGCTAAGATTATTTATATAATTAGTTGATTTGTAATAGATGGAATGATCGCAAGCTACCTTTTCTGAACTATTTTTATCTTTAGTAAAAATTTAAAAAAAAAAAAATTTTCTTTTTGTTTATAATTGTTAATAAAGAACTGTTAAATGTGAAATTTTTTTTTGTCTTGAATTACCTTGGAAGATTGATAATTTCTTTTTAAAATATTACATTTTTTTTTAGTTCATTTAGCTCGTATAGAAAGCCTAAAAATCATATAAGTGCCAAGGTTAATGAAACTGATGATGCATCAATGTCAAATGAGACTCTCGAAATAGTGGAAGGTTAGTAACAGACTTGTAGTATTTGAAAAACAATATTCTTGCACTAATAGGTTCTCTGTTTATTTTTCAGATCTTGAAAACGATGAGTCTGAAGTGGTGGAACTTAGTGATGTTGATGTAAATGCAACAGATTTATCGGTGGAAAAAATTGCTCGTAAGAAAGAAGCTGATAATGACTTTTACGAAGTCATTGAGAGAAGTTTCATTAAAGTTCCCGAGAATAAGCAAAGAGAATGTTTCTTTGCAGTAAAACGGTTAATAAGAAATGTTAAAGAGCAACGTCCAAAAAATTAATATTTCAGCATTTTGATTTTGAATGTGTTCAATAATTTGTAGTTTACAAACTTTAAATAAGTTTCTATTGTTAAAAAAATGTAAAATTTAGTTCTAAAAAAAATTACAGGTAAATAAAGAAAAAGATATTGTTCTCTTTTCAACAATTTTAGTTGTTCCTAAGTATTTTTAATTTTATAATTGAATTTTGTAAGACCAAATTTTTTTGCCTAAGTTCAAAAATATTATTTAATTGAATTTTTTGACATTGGAATTTTTATTTACGTTAATTTTTATTTTAAAAAATTTTTTATTACTGTCGTAAGTTTATAAAAAAATATGTTTTAATTTTTTTTCACATTGTAAACACAAAACTTTTTGGTTTTCTATATTGTGAAACTCAATTATTAATTACGCATTGCACCAGCATTAGAATTAAGATATCTCGTTAATAATTGAAGCTGATCCATCGCATTTCTTGGAATCCTCTCGTGTTCTGCGTTCTCATCCTCCTCTTCTTCATTCATTGCACGGTCATCTAAATTTAAAAAAATTTAGTCAAAATTTAAAAAACCAGATGATTTTTTATCATTTATTAAAAATTGAAAGATATTCAATAACTTTTAAAGAAATTGCCTTCAATATTTTATATTTCTCACTTATTCGAATGGTATGTAAAAAACTATATACCCAAAATTATTTACTTAAAATTTACAGTTACAGAAAATAAATTGTACATTTTCTAGCAGTTTACACAGAAAAAATTTCGCTTCTGCAATACAAGAATTCACATTGAAATTTTATTGTATAAATAATTCTATGAATTATACAATTAATATTACCTGCATTACGCCTAAATACAGGAATATCTATCCTCTCTCCTCTTTGTAGCTTCCTCGTTATTACAAAGTTATGGAGGCAAACAGTTGCCAATACAACTTTAATTGAAGTTTCCAGATGATATTTCAATGGCTGCTTTAAAATTTGCCACATAGCCGTTAGAATGCCGAAAGCAGCCTCAATTGTATGACGAGCCCTTGCTAATCTGAAAATAAATATATTTAAAGTCAATTTTTTTCACTCTTTCTTCTCACTATAAGTTACAATTTTACGTTGTTGGCAATATTATAATGTTAACAAAATATACCTGTAATTATAATGCTTTTGTGTATTAGTGAGTGGTCTACGACAAGCGAATGGAATCATTAAAAAAGTTTGTAAGGTGAATATTTCATCACCTACAAAAAAGTAAGGCATCCTTATGTTTGAGCGAGGCAGTTTTGAGCTTGGAGGTATATTCAACTCTTGGTTTCTTAAGGCATCGAAAAAATCAGTATTTCGAAAAGACGCTAGGTCACTTTGAGAACCTGAATTGCAATTAAATTTAGTTATATAATTTTAAATTCACTAAATAAAACATTCATGTTAAATTTTAATTCATTTTTGAGATAGTTTTTCTTGATTTTATTGATTGATTCAAAAGAGGACTTTCAATTAAAGAATTTCAGATAATAATTTTTTTTTCTGCTCAAAAATATTTCTTACTACCATAAAACTTATAAAATATTTTTTAAAATAATATACAAAAGGGAAAAAGAGGTATAGCAATTTTTACAGCAAATCTCAACCGATAATATTATTTTACGAAAATTTTAAATTTACTTTTTTCGAGAAAACACATTTTTGAAAGTGGAGAGACACTTTTCTTTAATATTCTATCAGGGTTGCCACGCAACCTGGAAACCTGGAAAACCGGAAAATGTCAGGGAATTTTTATAAACCTTGAAAAAACCTGGAAAAGTCAGGGAATTTTGATTGGAATCCTGGAAAATTATTGTTTTCTAAAGTTATTGCGCTTATTATTGAAATCTAATTTTTCTTTAATTCAATTTTCTGAATTCAATTTTAAAAGATTTGCCTTTACAATTTACCTTCGCAATAATTCAATTATTTTTATAAATAATCAAAAAATTTATAGATTTACAATTATTTTCATAAATAATAAAACTCATCGCAAAATTTTAATTATTTTTAATACAATTTTAATGGAATTTCTCGAAAAATGTATAATTATTCTTAAAAATTTTATTCAAATTCATCAAAGAAATTCTATTATTTTCAAAAGTAATAAAATTCTTCGCAGAAATTCAATTATGGTCAAAAGTTTAAATAAATTTATCGTCAAAATTTTAATTATCTTTATAAATATTAAAATTTTTCTCCAAAATTCAATTATTTTCAAAAATTTTAATGAAATTCTTTTTAACAAATTAAATTTTTATTCAAAAATTCTCCTCCAGTCAATGATTTTCAATATCTACTATTTTAATCAAATTTTCCAAATGAAATGAATTATTTTAAACATTTTTTATAAATTTCTTCGCAATAAATCTATTATTTTCAAAAATATTCAATTTATGTTTACAGAGATTCAATTATTTTTATAAATATGTAATACAATTTTTTACTTTGATTCAATTATTATTTTCATAGATAATAAAACTCATTGCAGAATTTCAATTATTTTTGATACAATTTTAATCAAATTCCTCGAAAAATGTGATTATTCTTAAAATTTTATTAAAATTCGTCGAAAGAATTCAATTACTTAAAAATTTGTTAATAACATTCTTTATGAGAATTCAATTTTGAGAAACATTAAATTATTCAATAAATTATTTATTTTTGTATAAAAAATAATTAGGTATTTAAAAAGAAATATTATTAAAAAATTCGTCTTAAGAATTCAATTATTTTCAAAAATTATAAAATTCTTAGCAGAAATTCAATTATTGTCAAAAGTTTAAAAAAAAGTTATAGTCAAAATTTCAATTATTTTTATAAATATTAAAATTTTTCTCTAAAATTCAATTATTTTCAAAAATTTTAATAAAATTCTTGGCAATATTTCAATTATTTAAAAAAATTTTAATAAAATTCTTGACAAATTTCAATTATATTCAAAAACTTTTTTCAATTCAATGAAATTTGTTTACAGAGATTAAATTATTTTTAATACATTTTTAATCTAATTTCTCGAAAAATGAAATTATTCTTAAAAATTTTATTGAAATTCGTCAAAAGAATTTTAATTACCTATTTAAAAATTTGTTGATATAAAATTCTTTAAATGAGAGTTGAATTTTAAAAAACATTGAATTATTCAATAAATTTTTTTTTGTATTTCAATAATTGAATTGTCGTAGAATTTTCTAATAATAATTGATTCAAATTTGAATTTCAGTTAAAACTTTAAATAATAATTGAGTTTTGAAAAGTAGGTCTCAAATTATAATCTTTGAATGTTTGAATTTTTCATACTTTTAACTTAAAATTGTGTAGATTTAATTTTTTTTGTAAAAGTTGAATTGAATATTTTTGAAGTTATTTGAAGTTTTTATTTTCTAATATTTATTTGATTGAAGAATTTCCGAGTACCTGAACAATCGATGAAATTTCGTAAAATTGAATTGTAAACAAAAGGATTTGAAAATGTTGAAAGAAATTTTTCAGAAATTATTAATAATAATTAATTTACACTTTATAAAGAAGAATTTTAGTTAAAAATTGTGGAAAAGAATAATTGAATTAAAATAATGAAAGTAATTTTGAATAAGTTACAGTAACAATATTCTTGTAATAATAATAGGTATAAAATGATGATTTTATCAGTCCAACATTTTTAATTATTATAAAACATGAAGATATCGATATGTTCATGTTTTATAACAATTTTTTATAAGATGTTTAATTTCAAAAAGGTTAGAATTAAAAATTAGGTAAAATATAAATGTAGTTTTAAAAACCTGGAAAAATTCCGTTTTTTAACCTGGAAAACCTGGAAAAGTCAGGGAATTTGAAATGAGCAAAAGCGTGGCAACCCTGTCTATATACTGGAAACGCAATGTGGATGAACAATGTAGAAAGAACAATATGGTTTAAAAAAATATGTGTACTTTCTGTACATATCCTTAAGATGTGAACATAAAACTTTTGTATTGAAAAAAGCGCTTACCACAATCACCAGCTTCAACCCATGTAAAACGACATTCTGCGTCGCAAATAGCGAGAAGTTTTATGCTGAAAAACTTTTTATAATTAAAGAATAAAGACCCAGAATGTGGTGGACATTTTATTGCTACCTCCTTCCCATCTAACGCTCCGATGCAATGTGGTAAATCCCATTTAGATCGATATCCGGCAGCAATTATTTTCCATTCTCTCGATGTTCTATTTCTTAAGTAAAATGGTGACAGTTCTTCCCAAATAACTGAACAAACTTCTTCTATCATATGATAGATTGTTGACCGTCCTACTCTACATAAATTCTGAGTAGTTCTGATACTGTCACCATTTGCAAGTACACTACAGAAAGTAAAAAAACATGAATAAATACTATTAATAAAATTTGACTTAATATAATTCATTTTCATAATCTTCATTACAGACTTCGCTCTCAATAATTAATTTCAAAAATAGTACCAAAAAGTAGCTTTCAAACTAAAAAAAATAGTAAAAAAGTAACTATCTCAAAATTTAACTTGACAACCAAAAGAAACTCGTTTCAGAAACTTTGCAAAACTGACAAAAATTCCATTCTATATTTTATTTTCCTCACATTTTTCTGATTTTCACCAAATTTCTTCAATTAAATTCTGTTTGAGAATTTTATGAAAGTAGCAGATATTGAAAATAATTGAATTGTGAAAAGTTTTTAAAAATAATTAAATTTTACAAAAAATTCTATTAACATTTTTGAGAGTAATTGACTATCTATATGTCATTTTATTAAAATTATTTGAAAATAATTAAATTCCTCAAAAGCATTTTATTATTTATAAAAATAATTGAATACTTTCTCACAATTTTCTTGGAATATTTTTTAAAAATTGAATTTCCAAGAAAAAATTTATTAGTTTTAAAAATAATTGAATTCTTGTGATGAATATTTTTATTCATGAAAACAATTGAATTTTGTAAATAATTTTATTGAAAGTCCTCAAAATGATTGAATTTTTAGGAATAATTTTGGTGTTTATAGAAGTAATGGAATTCTTGGGAAGAATTTTAATAAAATCTAAAAGAGTAATTGAGCTACTTCAAATAAATTTAATAAAAATTGTATTTAAAATAATTGATTTCTTTGAAATAATAAAATAAGTTCGAAATATAATAAATATTATGAAAATTTTATTTTAAATAATTGAATTATTGAGGAAATTTTATTATTTATAAAAATAATGAAATTTTGAATGAATTTTATCATTTATTTTTGAACAACTAAATTCTTTTGCGAAATTCATGAAAATAATTGAATCGTTTTAAAGAATTTGATTATAATTTTTGATAATAGAATTACCGAATTGAAACTAGTGGAAATTCTTAAAAAACAAATAGTAATTTTTTGTTGCTACAATCTATAAAAAGTACCCAAATAGTATCATAACGTAAAAAAGTAGTAAACATTAGGTTTTAGTAGATGAGTGTCATTATTTGACACTTATTGATTTTTTATTGACACATTATTTGATTATTTCATTATTTCACCTGCCATTATTTCAATGAATGTGTATATAATACATTTATACATATACTTACTTTAATACTAAACAAAGCCTTAGTCTTGGCGGCAAGGGTTCTCTGAAACTTGCCTTTTTCAATCGAGGGCCAATTAAACAATAGAGTGCCTCGAAATCATCTGGCATCATCCTGGTCATGTGATAAAAGTCTTCATGATTAAAATTCATATAATAGAGGAATAAAGTTTGATAAACACCAAATAAATTTCTCATGGCAGTTGTTATGTGAAATTTAACCCACCAACGTCTTAAAACGGATGAATCATCTTCATTTAACCGTAAAAATAGTTGCATCACATGCATCCATTGCGCGATAACATTAATAATAGTGACAAAAACATTCATTGTTTTTTTTATAAAATTCAAAATCAACAATTACATACGTATATCACGTTGATAGTTGACAGCCTGAAATAATAAAAAACATACATTTTCAAAAAAAAGATGGATTTGAACAGGAATTAATCAAAATTAAAAATGCAACTGATTAAAATTAAGAAAAAAGACCTTTAAAATGACTTATAATTATGAAAAATAATTGCTGCATAAACATAACCTTCTTTGCAAAATGAACACGTTTTCATCATGTGCATTAATTGTAAAATATTAAAAGCTGTAAATTACTAAGTCCAATAGTTACTTACGTTTAAAGACGTCTAACAATGTATAATGTAAACAATTTCTTTTTACACAATTAACTTTTTTAAGACACACATATAAACTAACCGGATAAAGAGGAACGTGGAACGGACGCGTTTGTTTGCTTCGTTATGTTGGCATCTACCTAAGTATCAATCTAATGATAGATAGGTCTTAAGTAGTTTCAATCTCCTTAACCTTTTTCTATTGTGGACTCAACCTGATAGTCGATTTTGCCGCAAAAAGTTGGTACTATAGAGACGACCCGAACTCTACATTCACATTTATTCCAGAAAATTGTACAGATCGTGTAACAGTTTGCAATGGGTTACAGATATTAAGTGACGAACAGTCCGAAATTTTAAAAAAGTTTCTCGATGAAAGGATACCGCCGCAACCGGATAAACTACCAATTACACCAATGGCTGAACATGATATTGACATCGGCGACCATCCACCAATTCGAGAAAAGGCTTATGCGATGACACCAATAAAACTAGAAGCATTGTGGAAAGAAACAGATGAATGGTTAAGACAAGACATCATAGAGTCTTCACAAGCAGATTGGGCGAGCCCTCCAGTATTGACAAAAAAGGCAGATGGGAAATGGCGACCTTGCATAGACTACCGTAAAGTAAACTCCTGTACAAAAAAAGATGCATATCCAATTTCAAACATGATCGGGATTTTAGATCAGTTAAAGCAATGTAATTTCATCACAACTTTGGACCTAACATCAGCATACCTCCATGTTCCACTGACAGAAAGAGCTAAGCCGATAACTGCATTTATTGTACCAGGCAGAGGCTTATTTCAATTCAAAAGGATGTCCTTCGGTCTAAGCAACGCACCAGCCACATTCCAGAGGCTCATGGACCGTGTTATTGGTCCAGCATTGTTCTCTCACGTGTTTTGTTATTTGGATGACTTCGTAGTCGTAACAGAGACTTTCGAGAAGCATTTGCATTGGCTTGACAAGGTCCTTGCAAACATCAAAAAGGCCAACATGGTAATCAACAGAAACAAGAGTCATTTCTGCTGTGCTGAACTACGATATCTTGGATTCCGAGTCAATTACGAAGGATTACAAACTGACCCTGAGAAAACTTCGGCGGTCCTGGAATACCCACAACCACGAACAGTGAAGCAACTACACCGTTTCCTTGAAATGGCATCTTGGTACAGAAGGTTTATTCCTAAATACGCAACAAAAGCCGCTCCACTGTACAAATTGGTCAAGAAAAATCAACCCTGGGAATGGAAATCTTGGAATGGCATCTTGGTACAGAAGGTTTATTCCTGAATACGCAACAAAAGCCGCTCCACTGTACAAATTGGTCAAGAAAAATCAACCCTGGGAATGGAAAGAAGATCAGGAGAGCGCCTTCAACACATTAAAATCACTGTTGACAACCACTCCTACATTAGCATGTCCTAACTTCAAACTACCATTCACCTTACAAACCGACGCCAGTTCTGTCGGATTAGAAGCAGTGTTGACCCAAAATATTGAAGGTCAAGAGCGAGTGATTGCTTACGCTAGTCGCGCCCTTTCAAATGCCGAGAAGAACTACACGGTTACAGAACTGGAATGTTTAGCCGTAGTTTGGTCCGTTAAAAAGTTCCGTTGTTAATTAGAAGGCTACTCATTTACAGTAATAACGGATCACAGTAGTTTACGCTGGTTACACAATTTGAGAAACCCAACTGGTCGACTCGCAAGATGGCCTCTAGAACTCATGGAATATGACCTGATGATCATCCACCGGAAAGGAGCACTTCACCACGTTCCAGACGCTTTATCGCGCATACCTGAACAAATGTCGGATCAGGTTAACCAAATTGAAGTGATAGAAGACCGATGGTACTTGAAGCGTCTACAGGAAGTCGATCAACATCCTGACAGGTTTCCAAACTGGAAAATCGATGATAATCGACTTTACAACCACAAACCAGCAGATTTTCCAGAAACCGAAGTTACAGACCTAAACGCCTGAAAGTTAGTACTCTACAGGGAACGTCGCCTAAAAGCCCTACAGGAAAACCACTCAACTCCACAATCAGGACACCTTGGTGTAGAAAAGACTCATCGCAGAATCGCCACACAGTACTATTGGCCAAGTATGTTCAAGGATGTAGTTTCTTTTGTCCGACACTGTGAAATTTGTCAACGCACCAAAGTCGAACAAATCCGTCCTGCTGGTTTTATGGGAAAAAAGACTGTTGAGGAGCCTTGGACAATAGTAGCTACAGACATTATGGGACCTTTAACTCCGAGCTATAGGGGTAACTTGTACATCCTCATCATTCAAGATTTGTATACTAAATGGATAGAGATACAGCCCTTAAGAAAAGCTACAGGTTTAACAATATCGACAGCGCTACAGGATTTAGTCATAAACCGTTTTGGATCACCGAAAGTTTTGCTTACAGATAACAGTACCGAATTCATTAACAATAGCATGAAAGCCCTAGCGACAAAAATAGGACGCGAACCTACAGCCGCGATATCCCTACGCCGAGAATTAGAAAGAGATATGGACATTGTCCATCAATCTTCTTTAGTTTGGTCAAAACGGATGCAACAGTTGAACGAATTGCGTAATAGTATAGTCCACGCTCTAGACAGTGCTTTCCAGAAACAATCACACTACTACAATCGCAAGCGACGCGATCAGCGATATGAAATCGGCGACTTAGTATGGAAAAAACAACGCGTATTATCGTCCGCAGACAGACATTTTATGGCAAAATTAGCAGATGCGTTTCACGGTCCATTTATTGTTACCAAACGCATATCAAATGTAGTTTATGTTCTAGAGGACCTACAAGGGCAATCAATGGGAAAGTTTTCAGTACAAGGCCTAAAACCTTACCACGCACCACTCCAAGATGATCCAGATTAACCTAAAGTAATAAAGTAGTTACAGTACTTAACAAAGATCGTTACAGAATTTAAAATGTCTTACATAATTAATGTTACAGTATTCCTTACGACTCAGTACGTTCAACATCGAGTTTCAACGTTTGTCTTTGTATTTGTCTATATTTGTATTTCTTGTGTTTCTGTACAC